AGGAGAGGGCAGGGGAAAGCCGGAGCGTCGCGCCGCCACGGGGCACTCAAACTTAGCAGAGTCGCGGCGGCCGTACTCGACGCGCTCATTCCGCCAGTACTCGAGAGGCTGGATGCGGTTGCGCTTCGAGCGGCGCGCGCCCTGCGAGGCTGGGTCCACGACGAGGCCGGTCCGCGCCGCGACTTCGCCTGGCGAGCAGAGGCGAGGGGGGGAGATGGGAGGGAGATGGGCGTTCGATGGAAAAGGCCCCGCCGGTGTGCGTGTCTGTGCGTTTGTGCGTGGAAGCGGTGTGTGTGTGTGTGGGCAGGAGGGAGCTGCTCCCCTCTCCGCACCTTCGAGGCGGCCGATCCGGTCGAGCGACGTCTTCCGCTTGCGACCCGCCCGCGGCTTCGGCGCGGCTGGCTGCGGCGGCTGCTCGAACTTTTCCTCGATGTTTTGCCGCACGAGCTCGTCAAGTGTCGGTCCGCCGTCGGGCTGCCGTTAGGGTTGGGGCTCGGGTTAGTCGATGGTGGGGCCCCGGTGGTGCCGCAGGCTGCAGGCGGGCGGGCGTCGCGCCGCGGTGTGCTGCTGGCACAAGGCTGCTGGCTGGCGCGCTGCGATGGGAGAGGCCGATCGGGCGGGCAGAGACGGCAGCGGGGGGCGGTGTGGGGAGCGGCTAGTGTGCCCCTCGCCTCCTGTGTCTCGTCGCCGCCGCCGTCGCTCCCGTCGAGAGACTCGTTGTCGTCGAACGCAGCGGGTGAGCCCGCGTCCGAGCAGCCGTCCGTCTCCATCGGCGCCGCCTCGTCTGCGCCGCACGACGCGCCTCCCGCCGCAGCCTCGAGCAAGCCCGGCGCGATGGGAGAGGTGCCCATCGAGCGGCGCTGCCGCTCCTCCTCCTCCGCCGCAGAGAGGGGGGACGTGCCCATCGAGCGGCGCAGCGCGGCCGCCTCCTCCGCCTCGCCAACCTCGACCGGCGGCGGAGCCTCTCCTGCGTCCCCGGCTGCCGACGCCGACTCCTCCTCCGCCGCTGCGCCCTCCGCCGCCTCCGTGAACGGTGGCGGGCCTTGCGAGGGGCCGCTCGGCGGCCCACACTCGTCGTCGCCCAGCGCCATCATCGGAAGCGGCGCCGGCTCCTCGCAGCCTGAATCCGGCGGGGGCGGCGACGCCCCGCCCGCCGCCTTTTCCGAGACAGGAGCGGGCGTCCGCATGACCTTGTTGGAGCGGCGGAAGGGAGTGGGCGCGAGCTGCGGGTCGAAGGCGGAAGGCGCCGCCTGGGGGTCCTCCGCCGCAGAGGAGCATCCCGCTGCGCCGGCGGCGGCCGGCGGCGGCTGCTGCTGCCGCAGCGCTGCCGACGCCTCGAGCAGCGGGCCGCGCGACTGCGTGAGGACGCCGAGCAAGTCGATGGTGAAGTCGCGCGGCGTCGTCTGCCGACCGCTGCCCGCCTTGCGCGGCTGGCGCTCGTTCCGCCGGACGCGGATCATCGCGGTGCTCGTGCTGGCCATCGTGGTTCAAGCAGCAGCTCCAGGAAAACAAGAAAAACGCGCGAAGCACCGCCATTCTGTGAATCGGGAGGGATCGCACACGGCAGGGGTGGCGGGACGGTTGTGGAGCGAAGTGGCGGTAGCCAGCCTCAAACATCGATGGGATAATAAGATGAGATTACCAGACGAGAACGGGGGGAAGGATAGGCGGGCGACATTCGACGACGTCGGGGATCACAATGTGACGACCAAAACGATCTTGGGGGCCAGGGTGAGACAACAGGTCGGGGTGCCACATGGGGCGCACCACAGGCGTATTTTAGAGGGGGAAAAGAAGCGGGGAATGAGGGGCCCCGCCACGAGAAGTGCGTTCTGGGGATGCAGAGCGTGCAAAGCGGCTAGGGATGAGGCCACAAAAGAGGCGCGCGAGGCGAGGAGGAGACGCGGGGAGCTGAAAGACTGGGACGACTGGAAACAAGAAGACAGTGAGCCACCACAGGCGTCGTTGGCGCACATACTGAGCGGCAACTGCGTTGGAAATAAGGAAGAGGCGCGTCACTTCATGCGGAAGCTCGACAAACACACAGCGAGGGCGACAGCAAGAGTTGAACGGGAGGCGCCGGACTCAAAAGACACCGCCACATTCCTGAGACGAGCGAGGGCAGCCTCCTTAAAAGCGAAAGGGTCTAGATTTGGAGCGCTCGCCGAAGAGGAGTACGACAAAATAGCGCCCGTGATTGCCTGCACGCTACCCGCACTCACGGACTCCATACCCGAAAGAAAGAGAAGGGAGCTCGCGGGAGAGGTGACGAGTGAACTACAGGTAGTGGGGAAGGCAGCCTCGATTGCCATACAGACATGGGTGCGAAACAACGACAAGACCAAGGCACGGGCAGAGGAACGAGAGAAGAATATAGGGTGGATAAAGCGCCTGTTCACGGCATGGAGGGTGAGCCACACCGAACGTACCGAGCGAAGAGCCGAACGGAAGGAGGACGGGGAAGATGACTCCGAGGAGGACGAACCAGTGGAAATTCAGTTGTCAGATGTCACGATGCATCCGAAGGGGACCCCAGCGCCGGCATCATCCGTAGAGGCACGAGTCTTCGAAGAGAGAGTGGACCTGAGCAACAACATGACCTGTAGGCAAATGATCGGAGTGGGAGTCAGAAATGTGGTCCTTGCGCGAGGGGAGCTCGATAGACTCGAGGGGCCAGGATATGCAGCAAGGAGGGCGGAGCTGCGCCGAAAGGCGAAAGAAGCCGAGAGAACAAGGGAACGGCAGGCGGCGGCGGCGCAGGACGAGGCGGAAGAGAATGACGCGACGGAGGAAGTGACAAGGGAGAGAACGACGAGAATGGGACGGCCGCGAGGTGGCATGAAGGTTGCAGCGAGAATCGGCGAGAGACTGCGAAAAGAGATAGGAAGAGGCAGACTCCCTAGGGTGGGCGACGGCTAGCGCATCACACTCCTCTCCTTAAAATCCCTGTGTGGTGGCGGCGTGCCGTCCTCCCATCCCTCCCTTGGGTTGTCTGTTTTCTTTCTTTCTTTCTTTGAATCGGGAGGATGTAGCGATGTAGAGCACTAAAAGGAGAGCAGGGAAGACGCGGTTGCACACAAAGCAAACAGTCGGGAAGGACTTCGGCCCGACGGATGGCGTCTCACGACTGTTCACACACACTCTCTCCACAGGGGACAAGTCTCCTCTGTCTGGGACCGGAGAGGTGTGAAAGCTCCTGAGTCGCCTTATCTCTCACACTCCCCCATTGTCTGCAGAGACAACAAAGGTAAGGCGTCGCGCTGATCACAGTCGCCCGGGTGGGACACTCACTTTAAGCCGCAGCACATGCACTGCGGGCTGGCGAGCAGGCGAGCAGACGTGCCGTCGCTGCTGCCGTCGGTGCACCACCACCTGCGCATGAGTGGCTCGCATTTCCATGCCAGCGCCGATGTGCTCTTCCGACATGTTGGACTGAACACGGCGCTTCGCAGAGAATTCCTCCCCGAGCGCTCCAATTCGGCGCATCGAAGCACTCGCGCGTCCGGTCGGGGTGCGCCGGGCCCGGCGGGGCGGTTGGCACTAGGCGGTCGTTCTGGCTCGCGATGTACAGAGGCGTGGCGCCGCTCATCTCCGCTTGGTTGAGCGCCGCGCCAGCCTCGAGGTGCAGCCGGACGCACTCGAGGTGGTTGTCCTGGCTCGCGATGTACAGAGGCGTGGCGCCGCTCATCTCCGCTTGGTTGAGCGCCGCGCCAGCCTCGAGAAGCAGCCGGACGCACCCGAGGTTGTTGTTCTGACACGCGATGTACAGCGGCGTGGTGCCGTCGTCACTGGCTTGGTCGGTCGCCGCGCCAGCCTTCAAGAGCAGCTGGGCGCACTCGAGGTGGCCGTTGTGGCACGCTATGAACAGCGGCGTGGTGCCGTCATCCTTGGCTGGGCTGACCGCCGCGCCGGCGCCCTTGTCGTGCCAGTGTGCTGTGAGAGAGGCTTGTATCTTAAGAATTCTAGCACGCGCCAGTTCGCACCTGTGTCGCCTGTCTGCTGCGAGAGAGAGTTCTTTTGTTTAAATTCTTTCTCCATCCGCCTCGCCCTGCCTTTTCGTATCGTGCCGTTCGCCCTCCATTCGGTGACCTCCATGGCTGTCCGCCTCCTTTTGGGTGGCGCTCTCGATACTGGGGGCGTGGGGGTGAGTGCCGAGGGGGACCGGGAGGCGGTAAGTCGTCGTCGCCCGGCACTGCTTGCAGCACCATGGCGAGGGCGCTAAGAGGTTCCTCTTTTCCGCGCCCCCCCCGCAAGGCGCGCGATACACACGAGTGACTGTGAGGCGCGCGCGCGCGGTGCTGCTGCTAGCTGGAGCGTGGACTGGAGGCATACGGTACTCTGTCAATTGACAGGCCTTTTTACGTACATGCCACCACTCCTTGTGAGCGCACAGCTCGACCGCGACACTGCTCACTGCACACTGGACCGCCGCGAGGGCGAGCGGCGCCGGACTCAACAGGCCATACTGGGTCTGAGGTACTCTGAGCGAATCACCACGCCGGCTGCCCGTCGCCGCGCTTGGGCCCCGTCCCCGGGATGTAGGGCCGCGCCGTCGTCGCGCCCGCCGCCCGCTCGTCGCCGAGTACGCCGAGCGTCAGAAACACCACGCGGACGCAGTTTGCGAGCACGGCGGCCCTGAGCGGCGTGCGCTGCGGGTCGGCGCCGACGAGGTCGTCCACCGAGAGGTCGCCGAGCGCGGCGCCCCCGCCAACCTTTCTCCGCACCTCCTCCACCAGGGGAGAGTACTCGTCGCGCGCGCTCGCGTCGACGCTGGTAGCGGCAAGCAGCGCCTCCCCGCCGTCCCCGCCGTCCCCGCCGTCCCCGCCGTCCCCGCCGTCCCCGCCGGGCGGCGCGGCTGCCCCCTCCGCCTCGAGGGTAAGGTAGACGAGGGAGAGCCACAGCGTCCGCAGCTCCGCCTCCTCCGGCAGCAGCGGCCGGCCCGCGGTCGAGTGCTCCGCTTCGCACGCCGCGACCGCGGAGCCCAGCGCAGGCAGCGGCACCCCGAGCCGGTAGCCGCCCACAGCAGACGCGATGAAGAGCTTAAGTGTGGTGACGTCGCCGCGCGCCGCGTCCATGCAGGCACGGACAAAGGTGGCCTCGACGAGCTCGGCGACCTTTGACAGGGTGAGCGGAGCCGGAGGCGGAGTGCCCTCTGCTGCCACCGCCAAGCGGACAGACGGGGTGCAGAATAGCGTGGGTGAGGCGAGGCGAGTGACCGCGTCGCAGCGAGACCAGCAGCCCGAGAGCGGGGAGGAGAGGGCCGCCGAGAGGGCCGCCTGCGCTAGTAGACCAGCGGCCATTTTCCGCGAAAAGAATTCTGAATATTCAAACTCCTTGCTTCGGGGACACACGATTCCAGAAATGGTGGTGTCCCCGTTCCTCGCTCGCCCGGGCGGAGGGCATGGCCGCGGAGGAGTCGAGTACACGCTTGCCAGGCCTTCCTCAGACAGCCTCTCGGGCAGACTGAGGGTCGGCTTTGCGTGGCGTGGCCCGTACGCTGCGCTGCGCAAAGCTGCGTATGCGGAGGGAGCATCTGGTGCTTCCACCGGGAAGTGCGCACCTCCTGCAGCTGGTGGAAGGCCGTGCCGCCGCTCGCCTGCTCCGTGGACAGGGCGGGGAGGCGGCGCCGCAGCGCCGCAGCATCCGCTGCACGCCGGTGCAGCACTCTGCTGCCTGGTGGGCAGCATGCTGGTGCTGTGCGCGGTGTTTGCGAGGCGGCTTTGGCGCTGTACTGCCAGCCGAGGCGAGTGGCGCGAGGCACGCGCGGCGCCGCGCGTGGCCCGGACGGAGCCAGAGAGCGCGCTCGATGAGCCAGCCGGCGCGGCGCGAGCGCCGTGCAAGCTGGCACATCGTCTGCATGCTGCCGTCAATTCTCTGGTCGACGGCGGTCAATCTCACGATTGTCGATCAAAACCGGCGGGCTTTGTGACGCCGTTTACGCAATCGTTTTTTTGGCTTCGCTTTCTCTTTTGCTTTTTGTTAGACAGATAGCCAGTTAGTTCTTTAACCCCTCAGCGAGGCCACGCCAAAATTGAGGCGCGCCGTCACCATCGGAGCGACTGCCTCCCACGCATTCGTACCCAAGCCGTACCGCTCGACCGAGCTGAGGGCGTTGTAGCCGACATCCGTTCCGCCCACCGCATACAACCTGCCGTCCAGCACCGCCACGGCGAGCTTATACCGCGTCTCTGCCATCGGCGCCACCGCTTCCCACGCGTTCGCAGCCGGGTCGTACCGCTCCACCGAGCTGAGGTGGCCATTGCCCGCGCACCCGCCAACAGCGTACAGCTTGCCGTCGAGCACCGCCACGCCGAAACCTGCCCGCCGCACCGCCATCGGCGCCACAGCCTCCCATGCATCCAGCGCGGGGTCGTAACGCTCGACCGAGGTGAGGTAGCCGGCGTTGAAGCCTCCCACAGCGTACAGCTTGCCGTCGAGCACCGCCACGGCGTGTTCCTGCCGCGCCGAATCCATCGTCGCCACCGCCTCCCACGCATTCGTCGCCGGGTCGTACCGCTCCACCGAGCTGAGGTCGCCGTGGTTGAAGCCGCCCACAGCGTACAGCTTGCCGTCGAGCACCGCCACGGCGTGTTCCTGCCGCGCCGTCGCCATCGGCGCCACAGAGCCTCCCACGACTTCGTAGCAAAGTCGTACCGCTCCACCAGGTTGGAAGTTGCGAGGTCAGCCTCATCCTCGCCATCAGCCTCACTCTGGCCGCCCACCGCGTACAGCTTGCCGTCGAGCACCGCCATGCCGACATACCTTCGTGCCGTTGGCATCGGCGCCACAGCCTCCTCCTCCCACTCGTTTGTGGACGGGTCGTACCGCTCCAGCGAGTTGACAACCTCGTCGTCGCTGCCTTCGCCGCCGATTACGACCACGCGCGGCCTCTCGCGCTTCTTCAGCGTCTCCTTCCAGCCGCGGCGCCACGCGCGGCACGTCCCCTTGACGGCGTGCTCCGTGGTCGGCAGCTGGGCGAGGATGTGCGGGGCGAGGTCCGGCGAGAGGAGGACCTCGGAGAACACCCACTCGGGCTGCTCCACGAGCCGTGCGGCGTGCTCCTCCGCCACGGCCCACGCGCAGCGCGGCGTCGCTCGTCTGGGGGGGCGACCCCCCCATCTTTGTTTACCGATGCGTCCTAGAATGCAAAAACGCATTCTAGGACGCACTTTTCATCTCAAAGATACCATGTGTCTCGGGTACACAGGGCATTCTAGGATGCGATGGCTGTCCTGGAGATAGCCGCGCCGTGTCTTTTGTTACGCGTTCCATCTTAGACGCCACAAGCATCTATAGATGCACAGCTGTTCTGAGATGGCACTTGCATACTAGATCACATTTTACTATACTTGGACAGGGAAGCGTCTCAGGAGACACCGTGTGTCGGGTGCACCGGGCACCGAGGGGGGAGCAGGGAGCCAGGGAGCACGAAAAGGCGGTGTGATCTCTCGGCACCCCCTGGGGGCCCTGCCTTGAGTGCTCGTGTGAGGTCTCTCCTCGCGGCCTGCCCCTCCTGGAGAACCAGGTTCTCAGCACCGCGCATGCATCTGCTCGCGCCACGAGCTCTGGGCGCAAAGACCAAAGTTGCATGCACTGCTTACGACGATCCGACGGCGACGCCGCCTCCCCCCCCCACCAACCAGTTTGCGCGGCAGGTAGCGGGGCCAGTTCGAGGCTGAGGGCGTGGGCGTGCGCCTAGACACGGAAGACAGCGTACTTCCGAGAGTCGGCCAGCCGCGCGGTTTTTCTTGTTTGACTTGGCGATTTGAGGGACCGGGCATCCCGACTCGCTCCTCGCTCCTCGCTCGGTGAGCTGTCGCCCACCAGCGCGCGGCGACCGCGCGCACACCGTGCCCGCCGGCTCGCCGCCCTCCTCACCACCCGTCGGCGCTGTCCGCAGGCATGTGAGTCAGAACGGCGACCGCGCAGCGCGCACGGGTGTCTTGCTCGCCACCACCCTCTCGCCCCCGCTCCGTGACCGCCGCCGCCCGCGCCACCGCCGCCGCCAACACCGCCTCGCGCCTCGCGCCTCGCTCTCGCCGCCCCCGCCGCCCGCCCTCGACCTCGCGACGGCGTCCTTCTGGGGATCTGCGGGTGGCTTGCCCGCCTCGCCGCCGCCCCCACAGCGTGACCGCTTCCGCCGCCCCCACAGCGTGACCGCTTCCGCTCGATCGGTGAGCCGTCGCCCACCACGCGCGCTCTCACGGCGACCGCGGGCCGCTCATCGCCTCCGCCACGTCGCAGGTGTTTGATCTGGGCAGGAAGCGGCGCTGGTGACGGCAACCGGCAGCCACGTGCACGGAGTGCTAAGCGAGGTGCCTGTGTCCAAGTCTGAGTAGCCCGTGGCCGTGAGTGGCGTCAGGGGCAGTGTTCTGTGACTGTGTCCTGTGCGTGCTGTTCAGTGTGAGTCGGTGCAGCGGTGGGCCTGCTGCCGCTGCCACACGTGAGAGCCGCTGTCCGTGCCCCAGCACGTTGCGCGGAGAGGCTATAGGGCGCCCACCCACGAGTGCTCGGGTGGGCGCGCCGCGGCTGTGCGAGTAGTAGCGCAGCAGCCGCGGCGCACAGCCGGGGGCACGGCCCGCCGCGCAGCGCTCGCCACACCGACTTTTCGTTTTCTTTTTTGTTTTTATACGTGCGTGTATTTCTTGAGATCCACACGCTGTTCAAAATATGCGCGCGTCTTCTGAGACACGCGCTGTTCACAGTATGCACGGCGCGTCTTTTGAGACAGCAACGCCAATCGGAGATGCCGCGAGCAATTCGGGATGCGCGGAGCAACTAATATAGACTCGCGCATCTTAGGATGCTCGAGCATACCGAGGACAGCGAGCGTCTAAGTAGGAGGCCTACTAGACGCACTCTAATCCAGAGACGCATTCGGTAAACAAAGATGGGGGGGTCGCCCCCCCAGACGGCTCGCGCCCGCCTGCGCCTCGATGATGGCGCACAGCTGCGCTGGCGAGAGGCCCGCGACGCGGGCGCCGATGCGGTGGGAGGCCATCGGCGCCACCAGTGGATTTTTCTTTTTTCAGACCACAAAGGGCCCCAAAACAACCGTGTGTGTGTGTGTGTGTGTGTGTCACTCACGCCCCAAAACAACCTCCTCACTTGAGCTCGACGAGGTACTCTCTCATCGGCAGGTCGTCGTACCCGTTGACGCCGCCGTGGGCAAAGGCCGGGTCCGCGCCCGCGCCGTCGGGGATGTCGAACCAGCTCACGTCGCCATCCTCGTTGACCGAGTCGAAGAGGCCGGGCGAGCCGTCGTGGTGCGAGCCTGTCCACAGCTACAGGCGTGAAGCAGACGCCATCCCCTGACTAGGCCGGCCGCGATGGTGCGGGCGCCGAGCAGCCGCCCCTTGGCAACGTAGACAAAGGCGTAGTCGAGGACGTGGTGGTGGGGCTCGCCCGCGTCTCCGCCGCCGGGCGGCAGATAAAAGTCCCACGCGCGGCAGTACTCATTCTCAAAGAGCAGGTCCGTCCGACGCAGGTCGTGTA